CACACAGACACCTCATACACACACACACTATGTAATCTCTGTCTCTCACACACACACACACTATGTAATCTCTCTCTCTCTCTCACACACACACACAGACACCTCATACACACACACACTATGTAATCTCTCTCTCTCTCTCTCTCACACACACAGACACCTCATACACACACACACTGTAATCTCTGTCTCTCTCTCACACACACACACACAGACACCTCATAGACACACACACTACGTAATCTCTCTCTCTCACACACACACACAAACAGACACCTCATACACACACAACACAGGCGCCCTACATAAACACACACTACATAATTACACACACACAGACACCACATACACCACACACAGAGACACCCTACAAAAACACACACACTACATAATCTGTCACACACACACAAACACTACATGAACACACACGTAGACACGTCATACACACACACACTACATAATCACAAACACACTGACGCCTCATACACACACTACATGGGCAGCACGCTGGCTCAGTGGTTAGCAATGCTGCCACACAGTGCCAGGGACCCGGGTTCAATTCCACCCTTGGGCAACTGTCTGTGTGGAGTTTGCACATTCTCCCCGTGTCTGTGTGGGTTTCCTCCGGGTGCTCCGGTTTCCTCCCACAGTCCAAAGATGTGCAGGGTAGGTGGATTGGCTGTGCTAATAGTGCGCAGGGTTGTTTAGGGTAGGTGGGTTAGACATGGGAAGATGTAGGGGGAGGGGAATGGGTCTGGGTGGAATGCTCTTTGGAGGGATGGTGTGGACTTGTTGGGCTTCTTGGCCTGTTTCCACACTGTAGGGATTCTACGATAATCTCTCCCTCTCTCTGTTCACTGTCACTATTTGCCAGTCAGGCTGTACAGCTGTGTTATCATCAGACCTTCCTTGTTTTGCATGGGAGTGTTGAGGGGATGTGCTTAAACCCAGATTCTCCAGCTGTGGGATGGGGTGGGGCAGGTGCAGGGATGTTTCCTACAAAACCATAGAAACATTATTGTCACAGAACGGATTGGAGCACGAGAACTGAAGTTTCATTACAGTTATACAGGGTATTGATGAAGCCACACATAGCAATGATAGTTTTGTTTATTGAAGTGTGGGTAGTCCTCCTATGTGAATCACCAAAACATTAGGAAGCAGGTCCAGCAACTAATCAGGAGTGTTGGCCCATACTGCAAGAGGGATGGAGTACAGAAGTAGGGAAGATTTGCTTCAACTGTACAAGGGATGTGGGTCCCACCGGCAAGACCAGTATTTATTGCCCATCCTTAATTGTTCTTTGAGAAGGTGGTGGTGAGCCTCCTTCATGACCTGCTGCAGTTCATGTGGTCTGGGACACCCACAGTGTCATTAGAGAGGAAATTCCAGGATTCGGACCGCAAGGAGCTATCATATTGCCAAGTCCGGCAGCTGTGTGGCTTGCTGGAGAATTTACAGGTGCCGTAACTGTGTCTGTTGCCCCCCGTTCTTCCGGGGGTAGAGCTGGTGGGTTTGGAAGGTGCTGTCAGAGGAGCCTTGGCAAGTCACTGCAGTGCATCTTGTAGACGGTACTCACTGCTGCTGCTGTGTGCCGGTGGTGGAGGGAGTGAGTGTTGAAGGTATCGATCAAGAGTGGGCTGGTGTGCTGGAGGAGACCTTACACCATCAAAACTGATGCCAGAATGCAAAATTTCAAACAGTTACAACAATGAGCAAATATAAACGGTGGGAGCACAGCTTTCCTGTCTTTTCCCTTGATTCCCCAACTGATCAAGAATTTATCTATCTCAGCCTTAAATATACACAAGGACTCTATGGCAAGCAGTTCCAAAGACTCTGAACTTTCTGACAGAAGAAATTCCTCCTCATCTCAGTCTTAAATTGGCATCTCTTTATTCTGAGATGATGCCTGTGGTCCTAGACTGCCCCATGAGGGGGAATATCATCTCAGAATTTAACCTGTCAAGGTCCTAAAGAATTCTATATGTCCAAATGAAATTGCCACTCATTCTTCTAAATTTCAAGCAGTCACAACAATTTTTATGACAGGAGGAGATGGGCACTGTTTGGTGGTCAGATTGACATTGATTGGCCGAGGTGTACCATGGTGAAGGCAACTGGGGGAACTAAATGTCCTGGGTAATTCAGAAGATGCACAAACCTTGAATTCTGTTTGCAGAGCATGGATCTCTGCGTATATACCTGTTCCTTGTAGCAAGCAGGAGCCAGGTTACTAGCTCAGCTGATTAAGTTGGTGCACTTAGGACTGTTTAACAAGTGTTTCCCAATCAAACTAAATTGCATTTGAAATTTGTCCAAGTGGTGAAAAGCTTCAGTCACTTGCCTCTCTCTTTTCATGGAGTCCAAGTTCTGTGCTAGCAAGGGACCGTTCTGTGCTCCCATGGCACAGCAGGCTTGAGGAGGGGCCTCTCCTCTGAGGGTCGAGGGTCTTTGGAGCTCCTTGCCACAGAGTCCCACTGCTCTCGTCCTCGCACACCCACGCTCACGTGCCCATTTTGACCAGCATCGCGATACGGAGCCAGCTGCACTGACCTTCCTTCCCACCTCATTGTTGTGCAGGTTCATGAGCCTTCGAGCATGCCGCCTCACCTCACGGGCATTGAGGAAGCGCCTGGAGAAGGCGATGCCGTGCTCAATGTCAGCCGAGCAGCCACCCCACTTCCAGCCCTTCTCTTGGTCGTAGTAGCCATGTTTGGCCCGGTCACAGCCACAATCAGACAGGTTGCCCTGGCTGCAGGCCTGTGTGACTGCGTGGGCCACTCCCGCTGCCATGATGCTGTATGCGAAGGCTGTCTCTTTGCTACCTGGAGAAGAGAATGCACCGCCATGACTCCTCAGCACAGTTTTCTTTCTTTGGAGGGGGCAAGGGGTGGTGGTGGGGGGAGGCTTTTCACCATCAAGATAAATGCCAGAATGCAAAATATCAAACAAATTAACAAGGTCAGAAGTTCAACACCTCTACATCAAACAAATTAACAAAAATATTTACTGTCGAAGATGATTCCACATTAGATAGCACTTGGTCAGCAACATATAGTACATACAGTTACAATCCTAGACTCCTATGCTGCAGAAGAGGCCCTTTGGCCCATCGAGTCTATACTGCCAAAAATGTACTACTACCTACATTAGGCCCACCCTCCCTCACTAGGCCCACAGCCTTGAATGATATAACATTTCAAGTGCTCATCCAAGCACTTTTTAAAGGCTGTGAGGTTTCCCACCTCAACTCCCCTCCCAGGCAGGGCATTCCATACCCCCAACACCCTTTAATCATAGTGTGGAAACAGGCCATTTGGCCCAACAAGTCCACACCACCCCTCTGAAGAGCATCCCACCGGAACCATTCCCCTATCCCGACATTTCCCATATCTAACTCACCTAACCTAAACATCCCTGGGCACTATGAGAAATTTAGCATGGCCAGTCCACCCTAACCTGCATGTCTTTGGACTGTAGGATGAAACCAGAGCACTCGGAGGAAACCCAGATACAGGGAGAAAGTGCAAACAGACAGACAGTCGCCCAAGGCCGGAATCGAACCCAGGTCCCTTGCACTGTGAGGCAAAAGTGCTAACCACTGAGCCACCATGCCACCCTGGGTGAAAAGGTTTTCCTCAAATTCTCCCCTCCCAGGCAGTGCGTTCCAGACATCCACCACCATCTGGGTGGAAAGGTTTTCCTCAAATCCTCCCCTCCCAGGCAGTACATTCCAGACCCCACCACCCTCTGGGTGGAAAGGTTTTCCTCAAATCCTCCCCTCCCAGGCATTGCGTTCCAGACCCCCACCACTCTCTGGGTGGAAAGGTTTTCCTCAAATCCTCC